CACACATATATATATATATATATATATATATATATATATATATATATATATATATATATATATATATATATATATATATATATGTGTGTGTGTGTGTGTGTGTGTGTGTGTGTGTGTGTCTCTCTATCCATTGGGGTAAATCTATATCTATAACACAAACACTCTACGCGCGCGCGCTCTCTCTCTCCAAATAAGAGAGAGAGAAAAGAGTATTTTTTTGTGGATATGTTTGTCTCCCCTCTCTCGCGCGCTCAGAGAGAGACCGTGGGTGTCTCTTTTTTTTTTATTGCGAGTGTATTGTGAAGTGGAATAAAAGAGAGAGAGAGGGGGCGCAACCACACACAAATATATATATTTGTTTGTTATTAAATAAAAAAAAGAGATATATATATATATATATATATATATATATATATATATATATATATATATATATATATATATATATATATATATATATATATATATATATATATATATATATATATATATTCTCCCAGTATAGTTAAATTTTGATGCTCTGTTTTGGATCAGCTTTTGGTTAATCATTTGTTAGGTAAACGGAGGGCCTCATTTGATAGGTAAGATAAGCCATCATTAATTAAATTATTAGGTTTTATTTGATGCAAAAAAATTGAAATCCATCTCACATTTCATATTGGTCAATTGCCTGTTATTGCAAATAATTTCATATTTGAATATACAGAAAGTAGACAAAGGGTATAATGGTCAAAATAAGTGACATGATATTTTATAGGCCATTGGCAATTAACTGATGGCTTTGTCCCACGAAGAAAAACAATGACAATTATTCTACTTCGTTTTGGTCTTATGTACCATTTCATTTAATTTTATGTTTCTAAATCCACTATTCGAACAAGGGGAAAATCTATTTTTGATTGAATGTTCCTTTTGCTTTTGTGTACCTAAATTTCTGTTGGAAACGAGAAAGAAATTCCAAATTAAACTTAAAAAAAAGAAAACAGAAGGTTCAGTTTAGTCTGAACATATAGAGTTGAGGGTTTTGATTCATAATAATAAATTTACTAATTAATATTTCATATTAATTGGCTATGGACCCCCTATAACTTTTTTTTTTTATAGTTTATTTAGGCCTCATTTGGTTGGGGAAATTAGCAACGATTAACTAAGTAATTTGACATTGTTTGTTGTTTGGTAATCGTAAATTTTTAGGTCGACTTGAAAATATTATGCTATCATGTCTTATATCGCCTTATTTTACCTTTTAGAAGCTTTTTTTATTGGATATTCCGGTGTCCGATAAAATAAATGAGTTTTTATTAGATTATTTAATCTTATCTCGACTAACCAAACAAGACCTTGGAGATTTAAAGAAAAACAAGGAGTCATTCAAATTAATTTTCTGAAACATATTTTCCAAAATCAACCAATCTCCTCCTCGGTTCAAATGTAACCAATTTGTTCCATGATATACCCGATGAATTTCACCGAATTATATCTTATCATCCACATGTGTACAACGATATACATTTTACACACATCCACATAAATACATGCATAAAATCAAAGATTAATTCGAAGCAAATTCTGCAGCACATGGAATAATTCCTTGAAACAGAATTCAACATGCATAATATTACATCACTCTCACACAAGCTCTTCACAAAGTTTTTTGTGGGCCCAAATCTCCAAAACCCTAAGACCCAATTAATAAAATAAAAATAAATTAATAATAATATTAATGCTTCCAAAAAAAAAAAAAAAAAAAAAACTTT